AGGGGTGCAAGGAAAAATGCAAGCAATTATCATCAATACCCTATTTTTTTAAAGGAAGAGAGGGTTTTTTTATAGAATACTGAGGGGTTTTCTTATATTTTTAAAAGATTTTTTTATTTATTTATGTTTAGAGAGGGAAGGGAGGGTGAAAGAGAGAGAGAGAAACATCAATGTGCAGTTGCTGGGGGCCGTGGCCTGCAACCCAGGCATGTGCCCTGACTGGGAGTCGAACCTGCGATGCTTTGGTTCACAGCCCGTGCTCAATCCACTGAGCTATGCCAGCCAGATCAATACCCTAATTTTTTATCTTAAAGAAAATATAAACACCATGTAGAAGGACTTGGAGCACTGGACAGTGTCTTCTTGGGACGTTTTCACAATTTCAAGTGTGATTTTGAAACCATTGACAACCATTGATGTCAATGACTCAGTTAAGGCCAAAGCCACGAAATGAAAGCTTAGGTCAGAAAGGGGATTCCCCCAGAGTAGCCTGACTTAGCTCCCTGGGCTCTCCATGAAGGGGCGGGGGAGGGGGGCAGGAGTGTTTGCCCCAAAGCCCGCATTCTCCCACCACACTCCACCGCCCCTCCCCCAGAACGAAGAGGTCTAGAGGGCTTCTCAAAGAGTAAAGAGGGTCTGGAGGTGGCATGATCACATCCAACAGTGAAATCAAAGAATACTTCGTGGAAGAGATGGCATTTCAAAGAGGTTTTGGAGAATGAAGGCAGAGAAAGGGGTGGGTGGGTGGGGAAGGAAAAGCCTTCCAGTGTGAGGGGCCACATGGTATAGAAAGTGAAATAACAGGGATGGGGGATGGGTTGGACAGGAGAGCCAGGGCCACAGCACAGAGGGCTCTAAATGACAGGCCAAGGAGGACCCACTGAGTAAGAAGGTCATCTGACCTGAAGGGACCAAGAAAACAGAGACCGAGCAACTGCGAGAGTCCAAACTAGCCTCTCGTGTGAGCTGCGCTGTGAGGGAGAGGATCCAGGAGATACTGGCAAGAAGTACCTCAAGAAGATACTGGCAAGGAAATACCTCAAGAAGATGGCGAAGCAGGTATCTAGGGCCCCTCGCAGTCAGCCTGGGCCACAGTGAGGACCAGCTTGTCTTCTGCAGCTTGAACAGTGGCGCCCACGCTTCCACCTTCCATGCTGGGGCTGGCGTTGCCCTCAATGACCACTTTGTTGAGCTCATTTCCTGGTATCTCTGAGCCTCTGAAGAAGGGCAGGGACTTAGGGAGCCCTACTTTGTCATGCATCATCAGTAAAGTTCACTGTACCCAGCCAGGGGGAGAGAGAGAGAGAGAGAGGGAGAGAGAGAGAGAGAAGCAGGGGGAGGTTCAGAAATAGCAGTAGGTCAAATGGGAGCCCCGGGTGAGAATTCAAGGTGCTGAGACTTGGGGAGAAAGGCAGAGCTGTGACCAGAACGCAGACGTGACCAGGGGGACTGGCGTAGGCAGGCAGTGGAGACACAAGCTGCCAGTATCCACACGGACGTATGGGACCAGAGCTCGGGAGAGGGGCTGGGCCGGAGGATGAGGAGGCGGGGACAGCCATCTGGGAGTCACTTACCTATGCGGGTGCAAGCTGAAGATTTGGGAGAGGAAGACAAAAGGAATCACCAGGGGAGACGTGAGGTCAGAGGACAGACACGCCCCGGACATCACGGGCTCCTTTTTATTAACGCTTCCTGAGGACAGAGGAGGAAGGAGAGGCACAGAAGACAGGAAAGGGACCCTGGAGAAACCTGGGAGAACTTGGTGAGCACAAGCAGTGTCTGTCGTACGTCATGGAGACATCCGGGGATCAGAACATGAACAGATCCAGGGGTCAGAACGGCAGGGAGGCAACCACCGGATTTGCGGTTGGGGGTTGTCATGCGTGACCCTTGAGAACGTGGTTTCAGGGGGTAGAAGTCAAACCAGAGATTCAGGAGGCAAGAGGCAGAGTGAGTGGGGGCAGCGGAAGCTCCAAGGAGGGAGGTGGTGGCGAGCAGGGCTGGGTTGGCCCCAAGACACCCTGGGGACAAGATTTTACTCTCAGGATTGCTCAGGTGGCCCTGATAAAGAGGGGCAGACACAGGCCACAGAGCCGTCAAGAGAGAGAGGCCCACAAAGAGACCCTCTGAGAGGGACCCAGTGAGAGAACTTAGAGACCCAGACAGAAGCTAAGACCCTCAGTCTCCATATCCCACAGAACACATTGTGATCAGTGGCAGAGCCTTGAACTTCAGAGGACACAAGGGATGGGAGAGGGGCAGGTGGAAGGAAGGAGTCACACGGACCAGCTGGGAACAGGGGCTAGGGACACCCGACCTGGAGCAGCCAGGAAGCCAGGGATGGAGGGAGGGAGGGAGAGAGGGAGGGAGGGAGGGCTTCCCCACGTCCCCGTTGGTGAGTACTGGGGGGGAGGGGAATCCCGGCATCCTCGGGGTCAGCCTGGGAAAATCAAAGAATCCTACTCTACCCTTTCCCCCAGGCTGCTCCACTTCAGCGAGCCTTGTGGCCCCAGCTGAGAGCCGCGGCACCCCACACCAACCCCGAACACATTTTCTTCCAAAAGGTCCGGGCAAGGGCCTCTTTCCCAGGACTCGGTTGCTGCAGTGGGCAGCACGGTGGCGCCCAGAAAGCTGTGTCCGTGTCCTCGCTCCCTGCCCTCCAGATGTGAGTGTGAACTTATTGGGAACAAGGGTCTTTGCAGATGTAATTAAACGAAGGATGTCGAAATAACGTCAAGCTGGGTTACCCAGACAGGCCCTAAAGCCAACGACAGGCACCCTTAAGATACAGGAGAGGGGAAGGCCCCGCGAGGGTGCAAGCAGAGAAGACGGGGGTGATGCGGCCACAGCGGGAGGAACGCCTGGGCTCTCCAGAGGCTGGAAGAGGCAAGGAAGGAATTCTCCCCTGGAACCTTCAGACCTCGGCCCTGCCAACAGCTTCATTTCGGACTTCTGGCCTCCAGACTGTGCAAGAATAAATTTCTACCGTTCGAAGCCACCAAGTCTGCGGCAGCCTGTTCCAGCAGTCCTGGGAAACTAATACAGTCCTCTGTTATGTAAAATGACTAGAAAGTTCCTAGGGATGCGTCCAGCCTCAAGATTCTCCAAATTAAACCTTTCCGGCAAGGAGGGGGGGTTCCAGGTCTGGCCAAAAGGTGTTTGTTTGTTGTTTTTTTTTAACTCACAGTGCCACCCCCTTTCCAGGTTGAGGTTTATACTTTCACTTGAGCAAGGAGGAGGGAAGCCTAATGAAGGGCCCACCTCCCACTGCTCAGGAAAGGAGACGCCGAAAGAGTATTTCATGACCCACCACCTCTTCCGCCTTCGCCCAAGGCTCACACCATCCTGCCCAGGCTGCTCAAAAGGGCCAAAGCGGACCCAGACCACCTTACTAAATGCAAGGGGCTTTTTAAAAAACAGGACCTGGCCCTTCTGAATTTGTCCTTGCAAACACCGCCCCCTCCTCTTCACAGCAACTCCCTCCCCACCCCTCACATCTGTCTTCTTCCTCTGCCTTTCCCAGTCTTGGGGGGCAAGAGGGATGGATACCCCAAAGCTCAGAAGGGAAGGCAATCTCCCGCCCTCCCACGGTCCTGCCCCGACACAGCTGGAAGGGGGAGGGGAGGTCAGCAGGGTTCACAAAGGCCAGATGTTGAGGAGAAAGCGCAGTGCCCACCCCACGCCCACCACCCCGCCCCCACCCTCACCCCCAGAGGAAAAAAATTAAAAGACACAGGTTTTAAAACGAACAAAATTTTGATGGTTCTAAACAGTTTTTCACAAAAATCTGCTCTGTGCAAACAATAACTTTTTACAAAGCATTTTCACAGAAAAGGAGACAAGTCCTTCCCCAGCTTCGCATGTGGGAATTGTTTCTTCCCTCACCCTGTTTTGGGGGAAAGAGGGGCATTATTCACTGGTGTGGTCAGAAGGGTCACTGGGTCCCTATGTTCTTGGGCAGATCCTCCACCCTCAGGTCCCCCTCACACCTAAACTTGGAATCTCCCCAAGAGCTAACCTGCCCTGACCTCACCTGGGTGGCGGAGAAATCGACTCCACCCCTCCCTGACTCTAGGGGATCCTCCCACCCTGAGGGCGTGGTCCAGGCCCAGCTCTCCCCCAACCCCTCCCGGAAAACAGAACCTCTGACCTCCAAACTAATCCCCTGGCCCTGCCCCCTTGGGATCCATCAGGGCCCTGACAACTCCCCAAATGCCTCGAGTAACAGAGGGAAGTTGACGGTACCTCAGCCCAGCTCCCATCCAAACCCAAACTTTGCCCCTTCAGACCTCACGGGACCTTGTGGTCAGACCCGGAGCCCTTACATTTACCCCCCTCCCCCCCAAAAGCAGCTTGTCTTGTGCCTACCCGTTAAGGGGGCTGAGTTTGGTGTCCAAAAATGGACCCAAGCCTCGCCTCTACGTCCATAAATGCTGGAGAGGACCTCGAAAGGCAGCTTGTTTGGTCTGGTTTTGTTGATTTCTTCCACCTTCCATTACTTTCCCTGGGACGGTCTCCGGCCCCTTCCCCAGGCAAAGCCTGCACTTTAGGAGGGGAGGAGTTCCCTCCACCCTGCCCCTCCTCCTACGAGAAGTAAACTGGGGGAGGGGTGCGTTTATCGAGGGGCGTCCTCTTTTACCCATCAGACCTTATAAACTGAAAGCAAACAGGAAAACTGAAGAAGGAAACTCCAAAACTGGACAAAAGGGAAAAGTTGGTGGCTGAGACTGAAGATCTCGCCAATCAGGGTTCTTGGAGGCCCCTAGGAAGGGAGTGATAGTCCCCTTGCTCAAGCTGCCCCATCCCCCATGAAGGCTCCGTAGTGCTGGGAGTGCAGGGGAAGGCCTGAGGGGAGGGGAGGGTTAAAGGCCTAGATGGTGGGGGTGGGGGATGCCCCCAGAGAGCTGCCAATCACCTCCCCACCCCCACCACAACCCCCTCGTCCCCGGGCTCGCCCACAGAAACAACCGGTTTGTCCATCACCAAGGTCTCTCTCTCCATTTTGCCTTGTCTTCCAGCAGCAACCTCCTTTACTCCCCCTGGGGTGAAGGCACTGCCCCCAGCGATCCGAGAAGGCGGAGGGGAGGGGCTGGATCTGTGTCATTGGGTCCTTTTCCGTTAAATCTTCTCCTGACTGCAGCCCTCAGTTGGTCTCGAAAGGATGAGGGGGAGGGGGTGTCACCCCAACCAGTTAGGTGCTTGAAGATCACTGTCACTGGAGGTCCCTCTGTCCACAGCCCATAAAACATAAACAGGTCAGGCAAATGGGAGAAACCAGCCAGCAGTTGGGCTGTGACCCCAACTTTTCCCTCTTGGCAGAAGAGGTTATCACGCTCAGAGTTCCTCCAGGTTGATCCCCCAGAATTTGACGCCAGGGGGCTCAGGGACAGCGGGACCCCCAATTTGCCACCTCCACAGGGGGTGGGCAGGAGGGGGCTTAGCGCCTCCCTGGAGGCGAAGCGAGGAAGCTGGCCCTAAATCTCCGTCCTCGCCCACGACCAGGGCCGGGGGGCAGGGGAAGCAGTCGAGGAGGCTGAAGGTGCTGGTGGTGGGAAGCGTCGGTGCAGGGCGGCGGAGCTGCACGTTGCGCGGGGGGGGCGCCGGCCGTCGGCGTTTCTTGGCGGCTCCCCGGGAGGGCCCTTTTGCGGGCGGCCGTTCGGGCCCCCTGCGCAAACTCGGAGTGTCGAGGGCGAAGCCCTTCGCGTAACACCAAAGTTTCGACCGGCGGATCAGACGATCGAAATGTTCCTGGCGGAGATTGCCGGGCGCGGTCGGAGCTCCGCTGGCCGTCGAGGGGCTGGCGGCGGGTGCCTCGGGGGCGGCCTGCGTGGGGGCTCCGTCGACTGCAGCCGTCCGGCCCGGCAGAGGCGGCTCCGGCACGGTCCCAGGCCCCGCGGGCTCGAAGGAGAAGCTCGCAGGTGGCGGAGAAGGCCGGGAATCGGGCTCCCGATGTGGGCTGGCGGCGGCGGAGCCAAGCTGAGAATCAAGACCCGGGGCTGGCCGAGGCGGAGCCGGGGCGGAGCTGGTCAGAGATTCCCGAGGGCTCCGGGGCGCCGGGCAGCGGCCGGGAGGTCCGCCAGAGCGAGCGCCTAAGTGCGGGAAACTGCCTCCGCCCTCTTCCTCTTCACCGCGGCCCCGGCACACTGCGGCGTCGGCATCCTGGCCGGCCGGGGAGCTCGGAACGCTGGACCGCCCGGCCTGTCCCGCGAGGTGTTTCAGGCCATCCGGGGCCCAGCCGCCGGTGCACAGGGAGGCGCGAGGGCCGAGCAGCAACGGAGCCCGCGGCGCCGGCTCCCCAGGCCCCAGGCCCAAAGAGGACGCCCGGGGTTTGGCAAGGGCGCAAAAGGCGAGGGCACGCAGGCACAGCGGAGAGAACTCCTGGGTCCCCAGACGCGGCTTCCTAGGTGTGGGGGCGCAGGGCGACCCTCGCGGGGACGCCGGCACTGCAAGGCGGGGCGCGGGGCACAGAGTCTCCATGGAACCTCCTAGGGGGGTGCCCACTGAGGGGGCCCTGGTCCCAGCGGCGGGATGCCCTGGCTGCCCGAAGAACCCACGGACGAGGGGAACATCGCCCCCCCTCGACGGGGAGGTCTCCGCTCACGGGCGCCCCCGGCCCGCACCCGTGGGCCGCGAAGCTCTGACTCCCGCCTCGATCTCGTCACGCGGCCCTCCCGGCGGCCGGACTCCTGGGTCCCTGCGAGTCCCTGCGCGTTCCGCCGCCCTTCCTGCCGCCGCGTTCCCTAGGCAGAGCCGGCGGGAGCCCCTCTCGAGTAGCCCGGAGCGCAGAGGCGGGGGAAACAAAGCGACCGGCGACCGCGGGAAGCGGGAAGGACTCGGCGCCCGGCACCCGGTGCCCGGGCCCAGGCGGCGGGGAAGGCGCCTTCCGCCCGCTCGGCTTCTTTCTTCCCCGCTGGCTCCCGGAGACCGCGTTATAGAGAACTGCCCCCTCGCTGCCCCAATACCAGCGCCGGGGCCGCGAGCCTGCCGCTGATTGGGCGGCACCGCCTGTGACGTCGGCCGGGACCCCACCCCTTCGGCGGCACCGCCCCCGTCCCCATTCCGCACACAGACACACACACGTGGACCTGGCGCGGCCGCCGCAGGGAGGGGACGGAGGAGAGGGAGCGTGCGCCGGTGGGACTGCGAGGGGCGAAATGCGACGCTGCACGTGGCCGGGTGACGTCCTGGCAATCGGTCGTCGCAAAGCAACTCATGTTTTCCTGTTAAAAGTCATGATTTTCGCATCTGTAAAATGGGAATATTCATTATCTACCCTCTCTTGGGGCTCCTTGAATGAAAATAGATGAATCTCAAAAACAATGTTTGAGGGAAAAGATGAAATGAGGCGATGGTGGCTTGAAAGCTTTGCATGGCAGGGACTCCTGCGAGCAGAGAATGTGCCCTACCTCTGTGTCCCAGTCCCTTAGAACAGTGGCTGGTACGCAGTGGGCTCAAAAAAAAAAAAATGTTGAATGAGTAGTTAGGAATTGAGTAAGCGTGTGCCAGGTGGGAAAAGGAAAACAAATTCGGAGAGAGGTATTATTACACCACAGAAGATGACAGACTTTCTCAGTACCTGTTTTCATTTCTCTGATGCAGTTTCTAAACGACCTCTCAACGGAATTCCAAGGGGCTGGCTCGGCAGACACCCTTGAATCCCAAGCCTCTGCCCTCTGAGTCCTGAGCTGCGAAAACGGGTTGAGAAGGTCAGAGAAAGGGACACACAGACCCTCACTCTGAGCTCCCCCCCACAAGTAAAACAAAGAAAAAGTGAATCCCCAATAAAAATCCCCCAAATCCTCCCTGCAGCATGATCTATTTCCTTATGCTGCTTTAGTTTCTGTATAGCGTAGTGCGATATGAAGACCTGAACGTATTTATTCTTTATTTTCTGGAAATGAGCTGATGAGAACTTGGTCTTGATCAGGACTTCATTTTCACTGTCTAGAATCATGCGCAGACGTAATAGGTGCTCAATAAATACAGGGTCCGGCACAAATAACGCCCCTTTTTATTATAAAACCATAAGCCTGTAACTCCATAACATAGCAATATCACACTTAAGCATAGCACATGACATTTTAGGTGAAATGTTCAAATTAAAACAATAAGTTATTATACCCATATTATTACCCTACCGACCACACTCAAGCAGGTGTTACTTCTGCCAGACCCTGTATTTGTAAGTGAATGAATGAACCCCCAGAATATGTCTCTATCGATAAAAATTAGGTTATTGGGATATGGCTTCCTCCAGTCCTCAGAATATAAAGAGTTGGGTGTGATGGCTTGGAGTAAGAGTGTGCAAGGATGCTGGAGGGAAGTCAGAGAGAGAAATATCGCACTCTGCACCTGGGGTCAGAGAAGCTTCCTGTAAGGGGACAAGTCATATAGTTTGCATCCTGGCTCTCCTGGCTGTGACAACAGAAACATTTTTTTCCCCTACAAAGTCATCAAACACCATCTGGGAGGAAAGGAATCAGGAAGGTCGGCCTCCCCACCTCCCTTTGCAGAGACCAGAGGTAAAGGCTCCAAGGTGGAGCTAGAGTTTAACAAAGGGGAGAGGGGAGGGTTCTGTTGCTCAAAACTCTCACCTGTTAGCATCTTGTACAGGTTTCCAGGGCCGCTGTCATGAGGGGAGCTCCCAGGGTCCTGTTGGTCTAGACGTCAGGGTTCCTAAGTGCCCCCAAACACTGACCCCCATCCCCTCCCCACACAGGAGGAAAGTTTCAGTTATAAGTAACACTGTTATGAACATTTGCATACAAGGCTCTATGTGGACATATGTCTTCATGTTAAAAGTGGAATTTCCAGTTCACACGGTAAATTTATGTTTAACTTTTGAAGAAACTGCCAACCTTTTTCTAAACTGGCTATCCTATTTTACATTTCCATTAATAGCCATGTGATAAATGAGGGAAGTGAAGGACAGAGACGCTAAGTGATTTGCCCAAGGTCACACTGCTAGCAAGGTCAGAGCCTGGACTCAACCCCAGGTCCCAAGTCCATGGTCATAACCAAAAGTCTACCCCATGACAATGAATCTGAGAGGGAAGCCATCTCTTACCTTACCACACTGTAGCCGCCACCATCTTTGCCTATCTTGCTTCTGGAAGAATGATCTTCACGGCCGTCTCTCCTGGGGGGCAACACTGAGAACTCTTATTCTGGGACAGCAGTGCCTGCTTTCTTCTGCTGGTGGGGCAGAGGGGCATCTGCTTCAATCCAGCTCTCCTGCGGCCTCTTTGCAGCTACCACATCTGGGGCAGGGGCTTGGGCCCCACCTGCAGAAACCTGGGCGACGCAGGTCAATAACCTCCTCCTTCTCTTACTCCAAAAGCCACCAGTTTAGGGGCTTTGTCGGGGACTGTTACTATTGAGAGGCCTTCCCTGGAGGAGGAATTCCCTCCACCTCCACTTTCCTTTCTTTCCCTTCCTTGAATCAGGCAAAGCCCCCTGTGGCATGGAAGCACTTTGCAAACAGTAGGAATTAGCGTACTCTCCCCTGAAAGGACCTTGAGTATTCAAGCCTCAGTTTTCAGAGCACTTAGATTTGGTGTACCAGCGGCGCCATCCTGAGCAGGTCACCTGGACACTCTGAAGCACAATGTCCCTATCAGTGAAAAGGGGACAACAGTAGCTGCCTCATAACATTGTCAGGAGGGTGGAAACATGAGAGCCGGCCGGCCCCTCCGTTGCAATTCCCGTTACCTACGGTAGAGGACACTCGATCCCGTCCTCAGCCAGTGGGAGGAGAATGCAAACAGCACCCTTCTCAGGAAGCCCACTCCCCGCAGGAGAAAAAGGGACAAGGCTGAATGCTGGGCTCCAACGGACGGACGCCTCGGGAGTAAGGCACACAGGACAGGCCCCCAGGGACCTGAAAGCCAACCCTTCCACGTCCTGGCCCATCTGAGTCTCACCCGAAGACCCGTGTTCACCAACCTGGGAGCAGAGGACCTGCCCAGCTGCCCTTTCCCTGGAGGCAGGCGCAGCGGTGCACTGGCCCCAGAGGTCCAGCCCAATAACAACGTCCACGGCACTGACTGCATTCCAGTCTCTGGCTTAAGAACTTTATGTTATTTAATCCTCAAAACAATTGTACAAGATAGATACTATATTTTTTAAAAATTTTACATACCATGTATAACTCAATTTCAGTGCCCAATTCAGTGATTTTTATTACATTTACAGTTAAGTGATGATCACCACAATGTGATTTTAGAACATTCCCTAAGAGACTCCTCATCGCTCCTAGCATTGATTCCGAATTCCCCCCCAGCAGCCCCCAGGGACTAATCTACTTTCTGCCCTCTAGGTCTGCCTTCACTGGGCACGCCATAGAAGTGGAATCGCATATATGTGTGTGGTCTGTTGCATCTGACTTCTTTCACAACAGCGTAATGTTTTCCAGGTCCGTTCGTGCTGTGGCACGTACTGGTGGTCTGTCCCCGTTTACTGTGAGTACCACCTGCGGTCTGGGTATACCACCATTTGTTTATCCAGTCACATTCGGGTTGTTTCCACTTTGCAGTTACTGTAAGTAATACTCTCATGGACATTTGCATACAAGGCTCTATGTGGACATATGTCTTCACGTTAAAAGTGGAATTTCCAGTTCACACGGTAAATTTATGTTTAACTTTTGAAGAAACCACCAAACTGTTTTCTTTTTTTTAATGATTTATTGTTATTTTGGAATTATAGTCTCTGTTTTCTTTTTTATTTATTTATTTATTTTTAAGATTTTATTTATTTATTTTTAGAGAGGGAAGGGAGGGAGGGAGAGAGAGAGAGAGAGAGAAACATCAATGTGCAGTTGCTGGGGGCCGTGGCCTGCAAACCAGGTATGTGGCCTGACTGGGAATCGAACCTGCGACACTTTGGTTCACAGCCCGCGCTCAATCCACTGAGCTACGCCAGCCAGGGCTCCACCAAACTGTTTTCTAAACTGACTATCCCATTTTACATTTCCATTAATATCCATGTGATAAATGAGGGAAGTGAGGGACAGAGACACTAAGTGATTTGCCCAAGGTCACACTGCTAGCAAGGTCAGAGCCTGGACTCAACCCCAGGTCCCAAGTCCATGGTCATAACCAAAAGTATACCCCATGACAATGAATCTGAGAGGGGAGCCACTTCTTGCCCTACCACACTGCAGCCGCCGCCATCTTTGCCTGTCTAGCTTCTACAGTTCCCTACCCCAGACCCTGTTCTGACCAGCGGGACCGCATCGCCCCTTAACCACCCCCACACTTTGCCCTTCTGGAAACTGGCGCCCAGGGTTAACAGCTCACATTCTGGATTCAGACGGGTCTGTTCATACTCCTGAGTCATCGCTTCACCAGCTGTGTGCTGTAAGGGCCAGTTCCTTAACTTCTGCTTTAGTGTCCTCATCTGGAAACCAGAACTTGCATCTTCCTTCTTGCAATTAAAACGTCTTATTATGTATAGCAAATAACTACTTACGGTGTCAGGGGCATGCTGGAGATACTGGAGGAACACTTCCTAAGGTATATGATTGTCTAACCACTATGCTGTACACCTGAAACTGATACAAAACAACACTGAATGTAAACTGTGACTGAGAAATAAAATTTAAAGTTCCTTTTAAAAAACATGCTATTATGGAAATTTTCAAACCTATTCAAAAGTAAGTAGAGGAGTACAATGAACCTTCACATACCCAACCCCCAGCTTCAACACTTACCAACTCCTGGCCAACCTTGTTTACTCTAACCCCCTACCCACTTTTTGTCCTCTGCTCCACTTTTTAAAAAATCAATTTTACTGATGCACGATTTCAATGTAACAAACGTCCAGTTTAAGTGCACAGTTCAAATAGTTTTCCCAACTGAATGCACCCCTGTAACCACCGCAGTGAAGATACAGAATATGACCCATATTCTCTTGAAACAA